CTTCCCCTGTACGCCTTGAGTCCACAGCCAATCAGAACTAGATTGCACCCAGGACTAGCTGGATTTACACCTTTGCAGCAATAATTCCCTGCACGTATTTTCATGTGAATAAGAGGGGAACTTTGTTTTCTAGATATAACTTGTAATACACCTCCCTGTCTAACTGTGTACTATGGATAGTACAGATATCACGAAAGGAACTATAGAGTAAAAGAAAAATTTATTGGAAATGAATCACCTTTTTTTTTTCCCCAAAGTTATGCCCCAACTTAGAGAGTTTTTTCTAACTATAACAATTAAAAAATCTCTATAAACACATTAATGCTATACTAGCAGTTTTCCTTCAAGGATATTTTAGATAAAATTAGTATCTTGAATACATTATGACTCACTGCAGATTTTCACTACTGATACTATGCTTTTGTTATCCTGTGATACTTGGAATACTGGAAAACTGCACACATGCAATAACCTTATGACATTTAAGTAATTCACCAACATGAGAAATAAATAGTTTTCTAATGTGATATTTAAAAAAAAAATAAGTGAGTTGGGTAGCAGAATTTTCTGGAATGTATTTGAGCATTCAGTCTGTTGATCAGACCTCATAAATTATCAGTAATAAAACAGTTATTTTGTCACACAAATAACTAACCTCAAATGAAGTGATGCAGAAAAAAAGAGAAAAATTTCCAAAGTGCTAGAGATAACAAATATCATACATATATATGAGTCAGAATTTGGTAAAGGCACAAAAATAAAAGGCCAAAATAAAAGCCATGGCATATAGAGTTTTTCTGCTCTCCAGATGTGCAAAACAGAGACAACTGATGTAAAATATTTCATCATAAAAAAATGAGTTTAGGAACAAGTCAGAAAACAGTTTGGAATTTCTAGTGTGAATAATGGAAGAAATTCAACAAATTCCCCAGTATACTTATTTTGTAAAGATAGTAATACACTTTTAAAAATTTACAGAATTCTGGCTTAACTGCAGCAAGTGTTGGTTTTCATATACTAACACAAAAAGATTCTCAGAGACCTATCACAAATTTATGTCCAACATGCCTTTAACTCAAGGATTACTGTGCAATTCTCTTTGGCTTATGTAGGACCCTTAATAAAATGTATTATTTGATTCTTCAAAGCAAGGTCCCTCCCTGACAGCAAAATTCTATTTTGCTGTCATAAACAACTACAAATATACATCTATGAAAAAAGTTCCCATTTGAGGGACATAATCTATTTTAGACAGTAAATCACTGAGACATCTTCATCCCTCATGCAGGCAAAATACAGAGGTCAGATTTATGGGAGCTCACACCCAATTCAGAGCTCACACCCAAAAGTGGAGATACCTGCCCATTTCCTAAGACAACTGGCAAGAAAAAAGGGCATTTAAGAAAACTTGGTATTTGTTTCATTCTGCAGTTGTTGACTTTCCAGTTTCTGCTAAGTTCTTTTGCCATTCCCTAAGCAAATAGCATTATTAAACAAAAACACTTTAGGTGGTGACAACATCTTTTACTTAAGAAATATTGCTGAGTTTTCATTTAAAGATAAATCTGAAGTTTTCTTCATAAAGGAAGCATCACTTAAGTATAAGTGTGCTTCTGAATAAGGATGTTTAGTTTTTGTGGTTTTTCTTTCCTAGGTTTACCATCCCCACTAGCATAAATTCCTTATTTTAAACAAATAAGGTGCATTTTTTATGAGTTAATCCATATCAAGCCAGAACATTAGGAAATTGCAACTGCATAAGTTACTTTTTATCAGAGGCAAATAAGCATGCATGGAAAACCCTGCTGGCTTGAGCTGAGACTAATGAATAAGAGAACTTGGAACCAAAGTATAGCAGCATAGGAAACTAAGAGAAGGCAGCACCAGCACCATAGAAACTTGCATTTAGAAATGTCTTTCTACCCAGGTCCTTTCCATTGTCTTCATAAACTCCTACCTGGAATACTCTGATTTGTTGAAGATTTAGTGTCCTCGTCTAGTTGCTGGCTTCCAGGAATGATGGGGGGACTGAACATGTTCAACCAGTCCCTGAAAAATACAAATCAAAATATTATTCATAAAAGCATAGTTTGTGTTCCTATTCATTCTAATTCTTTTGATTATGAAAAAACCCAACAAGCCTTCAGAGGAAATTGCAGATTGTCAAGTGTGATGAAATAAAATCAAGCAGGATTTTATTGGTATAAAAGTAAACTTTACAGTTAATACTACTCTTAAAAGTTAAGGTTTCCTTTCCTCCTTAGTCTTTTCACCTGCTCTGTACACACTAAAACCTGTGTTTTAAGTCACGTTTGCTTTGCAGATTTCAACTGGTATTGCTCTCTCAGCAAAAGGTGCACGCTATGTGCGAGCCATAATCCACAGAGCTCTACTTTGAAAGCCTGTGGGACTCATGAGGGTTTTTTTCTGAGGAATAAAGACTCAGGATGAACAATCTGCATTTGATGATAGACTGCGGTGGTCAATTTGATTAAAAATCCTTACCCTTTCTAAAGAAAAAGGCTTAAAGACAATCACAAGAGATGTGTTTGGGTACCACTGGCTTGGCACTGCCTGGAGCCCCTTGTAATAGGCTGACACAGCCAGTGGTGAATCAGTCACAGTCCGGGTGGGTGGTGAGTTACAGCTGAGCTTAGACATGAAATAGATGCCATTAACAGTGCTCACGAACTGTGGGACAGCTGAAATGTATTAAATAATCGTTCCAGTTTAATTTAAAAAATTTTCATCAAAGGGATGGAATTAGTGATTAGAGCTAATAATAATATACTAACAATTTCCTAGTGTTTTTAAGCAGGAAACATTGGATTGAGTCAGGATGTTATTACTGATAGTATCGCTGATATTAGAAAAAAGCTTTGTTAGGTAAATACATTATAAACAATTTTTTATTGCCATAAAATTTTCTATGTTATAAATAATAAAAAGTGTTATTGAACTAACAATTTAAACTATTGGCAAGTCTATACAAAGGAGTCATCACAGCTGTCACATATGTATTTTGCTTCTGTAAAGAAAAAAAATTTGATGGGGTCTTTATCACGGAGGAGAGAATATGGACCTTCTTCACCCATTCAATTTAACAGGCAATTTATGTCTCTTCTGAACATGACTTTGTGATAACTTTTAAAAATGACTTTTTTGTTATCATACATGCATGAGAAGTCCAGTGTTCATTTCACATACACCACTTTATGAGACACTGTCTTTGCTGCAGCTCAAAGGAAGGAAAACAGAACAGTTGTTTTTATTGTTATTGTTACTGCTTTTTATTGCAAACTGAACTGCAGATTTTTTTTTCTGAAAAAGCCACTCGTATTGTACTATCAATCAGAAAAAGATAGCCCTGGAAAGACACATCTAAGTCACAAAATTATGTCATTCCTTGGGTGGGTGATCATGGCTCGTAATTCTTTCCATACATAGAATCATAGAATCCTTTAGGTTGGAAGAGTCCTTCAAGATCATCAAGTTCAACCATCATGCCAACACTTTTACAACACTACTAAGTCCTGTATATGAAACTAATCTCTGTATGCTGTGCATAGCTGATGTTTCCTTAGGCTCCCATCTCTCCTCTTGAATGGTGAAGAGATAGAACACATTAAAGCTTCCATATAACTTAAGGAAAAACTTCTTTCATGTGAGGGTGAAGTGCTGGGGTTTAAACCCCCAGCCCTGAATGAGAGCTGGCATATGGATGATGCCCACAACCAGGCAAGAAAGACCCTCCTTGACTGGTTTTCACCCAGGGTCTGGCCAGCCTTGGGTGGGAACTGATGAGGAGATCACCACCAGGTGCCCCCACCTTCCACAGTAACTTGGAGATGGGGCAAGAAGCCATCTCTATAAGAACTGACTCTGCTTGCAGTGGAGTTTGTTTACACAGTGTATGTACTGTGTGGGTGTTTTGGTTATTGAAAAGGCTTCCTGACTCTTCATAGGAAGTAGAGTTTCCAGACTGGCAGAACAAGGCCATAAATCTCTCTCTGGGAAAGTTCTACATAATTGGACTGATTGCCTGGGTCCTTCCATCTCTCATAGCTTGGTTTCATGGCCAGCTTGCTCCCTTCTTTACATCCTCTGCTGTAAGTGAATGTGTTAATTTATTCCTCTCAAGTGCTCTGTAACCTTGGATTTTTTTGTGTATGATTTAATATCAGAGGGAGGAATCTGGAATCTGACTGTTAATAACAATATCCTTCTATACTGGGCAAGTGGTCAGCAGAAGAGAGGGTGACAGAATCCTGGAATAAGCTGCCCAGAGAATAGTGGAATACCCTTCCCTGGAGAGATTCAAAACCTGCCTGGATGTGGGCCTGTGCAACCTGCTCTAGCTGAACTTGCTGTAGCAGGGGGGTTGGATGAGATGATCTCTAGAGGTCCCTTCCAACATCTACCACGCTAGGATTCTGAGGTAATAATTAACAAGGCTAAATAACCGTGAGTTAACACCTCAACAAAGAATTTGAGGGTCCTCAGTAAACCATCTCATTTTGATAGAACCAGATCCATTGTTTTTGACCAATCTATTTCACTGCAAGGTGAACAGAAGGGAAAAGAGGTCTTTAAAATTCCCCTGTTTGCTTCACATTGATGTGAACAGTGCAGCTCTACACAGTAGATTAAACATCGTTTGGGGCTGATTCAAGTTATGTCTGGCCATGGCTGGCACAAAACCATTATTCATGCAAACTTGTGCCAGAGGCCAGGGAGATCAGCCAGAGCTGTGGAGGTAACTTCAACACCCATGGCTTTGTCTAGAAGGGATAAGTTTTTCTAAACATCGATGGTTTTCTTTACATTACCAGACTGTAGTTGTCTCAACTCAATTGTCCAACACCAAGTGAACAGGTAATGCACTCCTATTTTCTGAAGTGCCCTGATGGTTTTGTGTAAGATCTGATTCTGATAGAGAAACCTGGCAAGGCTCAGTCATGTGTTATAATTGCTAAAATATGCCAATTCTTCTTTTGCTAGTTTTTTGTGCTACTTCTGGACTTGTTATTGATTCTACATCATGTCCTGTTGGCATATTCGCATAATCTGGGGTGAATCAGGGGACAACCACCTATCTGTTTGCAGTCAAAATGGAAAAAAACTAATTTTCTGCCTCAGGAAACAGAACTGCTGGTGTAGAAATACAGCAAGTAGTATAGCAGATTTAAAGGAAGAGATATTGAATTTTCCATCATTTCAATATGTAAAAAACATACTTCAAAATTTTTTTACACCATCGTATTATTTTCACATAGATGGTCAACTCCACAACAAATCCCTCTCCACTTTTGCTATTCAGCTGGTGCCAGTGAGAACTGGTACAACTAATCCATGCAGCAATATGCTAGCCTAGACATCTCATTAGCTCTCTCTCATTGCTCACCAGATCTGCATTCCTTGAATACAGCCAAACACTCTTTGTTTACACCAAAGCTTTGTAATTTTTTGGGAATTACAGTTAAATGCCTGCCATGATACCTAGTGGCATGGCAGAATATATTTTCCATTTCTGCCACTTCTGTGTGCAGTGTGTGCTGCCTCAGAATCTGCCAGCACAAGCCTAGCTCTAGAATCAGACCATGCTCCTAGGATGTGGTCAGAGAGCACAAAGTACTGTCATTTACCTGATTCTCTGCAACTGCCCTGAAATACAAGGATAGCAAAGGCAATCTCTTGGAGAAACTGGCAATTTTGGAGAAGGTAAGGAAGAACTATTAGTGCTCGTCTACATCTCCGCTTCCCAAGCTACCCTTTCTTCCAAACTCACTACAGCTTTTTTAACAGACAGTGATGTCTGAGATCTGGGGAACTAGAGTATTTCTGCTAGGAAGATTGCTGAAGCAGAAGTGGTGGAAGGACAGAGAAAAGATAGTGCTTGCTTCTAAAGAGAATCATCTCTCAGACCAATAAATGTAGTTAGAAACGTAAAGAAGCTTTAGAGCATATATGCTGTTCTACGGGTCTGGCACAAACCACAAGAGTTTAATGATACGTGGTTTTTGTATAAAATATGTATCAGAGAATTTCTAAAGAAAACAGTTGGTACCTGGAAAGCAGAGAGGATGTTAGTGAGAAGGAAGAAAGATAAGGCAATTACCTCCAATGGAAAAGAAAGAGGCAATTCATTTAGAGAACATCGAGGAAGCGAGGTAATCATGTGTCACTAAGCCAGTATTTCTGCTAAATTAATAATTCTTATTACTCAGAAAATTTATGATTTTTACTTTGAAGTCTCATTTCTGGAAGGTCTTGCTGAAAGATCAAGTCTGAGAAATCAGAGATGAGATGATTTGTGAGTAGCCGGATGAATTTGTCTCTGATTTTGTTCTCCGTTTATTTGAGTCAATTCTCATGTAAAGGAGTTGTTCAGTTTCATCTTTATATTTTGATGCACCTGGTTCAATAGATGAATTATTTTCTCTAGGTGCAAGTGTAATATCTAGGGAGTTTGTTGGTTCTAAAGGGAGGCAAAGGAGTTTTTACTTATGGTAGAGGTGACAGATGTGTTGGCAACTCTAATATTTCCTATTAAGACAGTCTAGATTAATTTTTTTTCTCTCAATGTTCAAGGAAAAACAAATAGTTTTGCTATTCAACCCCCTCCCATCAAAACAAGTAATGAAAATACTACAATATTATGGATTCACTGATTTAAGTTAATATTACCTTTAAAGTTGAAACAGTTTACATACTATATATTAAAACCTGATTTATTCCTTTCACAAGTTAGCTAGCAATGTTTAAATAAACTTTCCCTAAAAATATTGGGGTAAAATAAATCACATGTGCTGAAATCTTCTTGGCCAAATTGTAGTAAATTCTGGCAGCTGACTGATAAACTTCTGAGAGGTGGGTTTACAGTGGCAATTCTTAGAGAGGCTGTAGTTTTGTAGTCAAGACAGACTTTTCACAATGCTTTTCAGAAGCAACAAAAGCATGTGTGAAACAGTGTATGAGTTAAATAAATACAAATCCAGAAAGATTCATAGCCCTTGCCTAAGAGTAGAGCTCAGCATGGAGACAACCAG